CCGGGTTTTTTCCCGGGCCTTCACATCTCTATTTAGGATTTATTTTTAAAGAAAAAGAAAAAAATAAAAAGTAAAAATTAGGGGGAAAGCTTGAGGCAGTCAGTGGGCGGGGAAGAAGGTCCTGTGGGAGGATACGCTGTTTAACCCTTTCTCCTCTGGTCCTTTCCCATCCCCAAATCACTCTTCAGAAACCGCCTTTCCCCTCCCTGGATCCCCAGCCCTCCCCCAGGTGTCAAAGCCGCTGGAGTGAGGGTGATTTTATTGACTTGAAAAGAGAGAAGAGGGCCGCATCACCCTTGCCGCTCCGCTCCTTTTTCAGCTCAGAGTCCCCCTCCCCAAGCTTCTTTTTCACCTCGGAGGGGAACAGGGACGGTGGGGAGTCCAGTGTTCCCTCTAAGCTGAGTTAGTGCGAGCTAGCTCACAGTTTTTAGCCTCCAGCTCACAGATTTTTGTCTTCGCTCAGGAAGGTCGGCTTCCGAGCAAACTAATTCATGCAGCAGCCAAATCGCTCACTCACAACTTTAATGCCAGTAGCTCACAAAGTAGAATTTTTGGTCATAAGACTCCACTGCTTAGAGGGGGCATTGGTAGGGACCCTGTACCTTTCCTCCTGAGTGAAAGAAGACGCCGGGAAGAGAGAATCTAAGCTATTTTCTCTCCATGCTGTTCTAACATAATAATAACAATAACAACAACAACAACAACAACAACAATAATAATAATAATAATACCTTTCGATTTATTGATCGCTCAATCCGGCAGAGCTGCTGGCTCTGAGCGATTTACAGTTACACAGTTTCACACAAGGGACTAACAATTTCATAGGGGTAAGGGAGGACAACATATAATTCTTTAAATTGCACACATTTTGCAGCCGACGGGGATTTTTGTTCAGCTGTAGGCTTCAGACATGTTCCGGAGGCATTCAAACACAGCCTGCTCCAGGCGGCTTTGGGATTCTTTCCGAAAAGGGAAGGGGTTGCAGAATGCCACTGAATGTGTAATTTGGGCCTGGGCTGTGAACCACGAAGTCCCTGGTTCCCGTTTCCTTGGTCGCAAGCAAGTGTAGATGGCCTTTAGGCACTTTGGGACAGAGAAGGCAGAGAAAGAAGTACTTTTCTCCCTTTCCCACAATAGAACTGGCGGACACTCTCTGAAATGGCTGAGCAGTCAGGTTAGAACAGATAAAAGGAAGTCCTTCTTCACCCAAAGAATGATGAAAACATGGAATTCACTGCCACAGGAGGTGGTGGCGGCTACAAGCATGGGCAGCTTCAAGAGGAGATTTTATAGACATATGGCGCAGAGGTCCATCAGTTGCTATTAGGCATAAGGTCTAGATAGAACTCTCAGTCTGGGGCAGTGGTGCTCTGTCTTCTTGGTGCTTGGGGGTCCACCGTGGGAGGGTTTCTAGAGTTCTGGCCCTTCTGGTGGACCTCCTGATGGAGCCTGGGCACTGTGTCACAGAGTGTGGGACTGGATGGGCCATTGGTCTGATCCAGCATGGCTTCCCTTCTGTTCTTATGCTGCTGTTCTCTCTGCCTTGAGCAGTAGAGGAACGGCAACACTGGCCTGCTTCACAGGGCTGTTGAGGGAACGGCTCAGTTACCTACGTATCGTGCGCCAGAGCAATGTTCCCTCTAAGCTGTGGAGTCTTGTGAGCAAAAATTCTACTTTGTGAGCTACCGGCATTAAAGTCGTGCGCGAGCAATTTGGCTGCTGCACAAATCAGTTTGTTCTTGGAGCCGTCCTTCCTGAGGTAAGACAAAAAATGTGTGAGCCGGAGGCTAAAAATCTACGAGCTAGCTCACACTGTCGCAGCTTAGAGGGAACACTGCTCCAGAGTGTTCAAAGGCGTATCGGTTTCTCACATCGCTTTTGTGGCTTGGAGGTTTTATTTGAGGGCCTACCTTGGAGGGGGCCTGAATAGAGCCAGGAAATGCAAAATAAACGTAGCTTCTTTGGTCCAGCAGACTTCTGCCAATGACGAGCTGTTTTGGAGCTCTCTCCTGTAGCTGAGCCAGCTTGTCCCCCGTCCCACCCCCAGCTGTCAGGCACCGGTCACTCCTACATACAAACTAACAGTTCCTTGTCACCGGGGCGAGGCCTGTACTACTGGCAGCGTTTACAGACCGAGCCTCGTAACAGGCCTGTTGGGAAATCGTGGGCAGAGTTTGTGGCTGAAGCAAGGCAGGAGGGCCTCAGCTTTTTCCTAGAAGCCTTTTCATGGTTTTCGGAGCTGAGCTATATATAACCCGGTTGGACCGGCTGCTACGGGGCTCCTGTTCCCCGTCGTGGCAGCACATTAATCTTCGGAGACAAACCTTGGCATGTGCTGGCTTGGATTCCACTTGGCTGGAACGAAACAGCCTGCACTTAGCCCCAGCCCCTGCAGATGTTCCCCGGGATTAAAATGCTTCAGGGCCCCCCAACCTCCACTGGAAACAAACTTGGAACATCCACAGCCATGACTGCCCACCTTCTCACCAGCTCTGAGGACAGTTACGGCCCTTGTTCCCTCTAAGCTGAGTCAGTGTGAGCCAGCTCACCATTTTTTAGCCTCCGGCTCACACATTTTTGTCTTAGCTCAGGAAGGAGGGCTCCAAAGCATACTGATTTATGCAGTAGCCATATTGCTCGTTCGCAACTTAAATGCCAGTAGCTCATAAGGTATAATTTTTGCTTGCAAGACTCCACAGCTTAGAAGGGAGTATATGGGGTCATTTTGTAGAAAA